TTCGGCTCGAATACAATCTGATCGTATTCTCGGCGCTTGGAACTGCTCTCCCAGAATCTGGCAACCTCTTTGCTCTTTCCAGACAGGCTTTCGAGCTGGAAATTCTTGCAGACCTCGAGGAAGTTGCGGCCGGACCGGTGGATGGTCTCCTCGGGCTCAAGCTTCCCACTTGCATCTCTCGAGTAGATCGTCTCCAGATAGACTGCTTTTGTCGAGCGGACGACGGCAAAGTAATGGTTCATGGTACGCAAGACGAGATCGTGCAAGTCCATTTTTGCTCTTTTTGTTTGTTCGTCATCTTCTTTCTTCTTCTTTTTCTCTTCCCCTTCATCTGTGGACGGCTTGAAGGGAAGAATGTAGCTATCGCAAGTCCTGAAAAGTTCCCCGTCCACTCTCAGGGGCAAACACTCGGGCCAAAAGTGAATGCCTAGCAGTTGCTTTGACCGATCAATGCACCTTGGACTCAGACAACGGTACACGAGAATGCACCCGTTGCTCAAGATACTACACTGATTCGAATCGTGTTGGTGATCATTTAAGCAAGTTCGCACACCGTTCGTCCTGAACTTTAGGATTCGCCACCCATTAGAGGTCCTCTTCTCAATCCCGCTGAAAGTGCTAGTCTCGTCTTGCACTTTATCACGCAGCAATCTCTTGATCTCTCGAAGCGCACCCTCCAATCCAGAGAGGGCCTTCGTGTCTTGCACATGTTCAAGAGGTGTTGATGATATTGATGTTGACTTGTCAACAACATATGGGGTTGCATTCAAGTCATTCTTGCATGAACTGTGCTTTTTGATGTCGTCGGTTGCACTTCGTTGAACGTGATCGTTGAGAAACTTTACGAGCCACGAAGGCATGTCTTGACATGCTTGAAAGCTGGCAGGCCCGTTGAGCCATTTGTATATGTCGCAAGCTTGCCCTGATTGTTAACGTAGCTTGCAGGCTGAGCAAAAACGATTCCTCCACCGGCTCGACCGTCAATACCGTATCCGATGTTATCAACCTTGATGCCTGCAAAGTTACGGGTGCATCCGAGGCCGGGTGTAGCTGCCTTAAAGTAAAAATGATAGCCACCGGATCCTGATTGTGCCTTTAGTGTTTGAGGCTCACCATGTTCCTCGACAAGTCGGTTCCAGAGTTGGATCCCCGGTGATCTTCCATCTTTGCTGGACACATCAATATCGACCACAAAGATCATACTGGGACGTGTCAAAATTGCCATGCCGTTGGCGTTCTTCCTTTCTTGCTTTGCTTTGTTGATAGAATGTTTCCACACCTCTGGGGTTGTGATATCTGCGTATTTGTATGGAAATTTGGCATCTTTCTTACCCTCCATTTTATT